TTTTTTTCGAAAAACGGATCCAACACTCCAAGTAATTTTATTAAAATTTGATATTGTTTGTAAGGGGAAAAAGAAATAATATAGCAAGTAAAATCTAAATTAGCGAAATTTTCGAATTTTTCATTCTAGAAAATTTATCAACGACCCTGTTTAAATCAACTTTACTTACTTTATCCTTTTAAACCTCTATTAGTCTATAACCATAAGATCATTAAAATATTCATACCTTATTATAGTTATTAAGCTAAATTTGATTCTTTCCATTGTAAAACAATCTTTCATTTGAAGCCATAATGATTGGAAGTATTTTAAATTATTTAAATTGTATTAAATTTAAAATTTTTTAAGATTCTTGAGATGGAATGGAAGTTGTTAAATTAATGAAAGATTCAATATTATTTAAATTAAATAAATTATTCGTTATTTTTCTGAAAAACGAACATTTCTGTGCAACAAACCTAAAACGTAAAAAAAAAATTAAAGCTTTTTAACTATGTATGTGCTAAGTATACGTTATTATACCAAAGTATATGCAATATAGTATTTGGACACGTTATTTTAAAAATCAATGTTATAGCTGAAAAATTAATAGAATTTTAAACGAATGTCAGCAAACTATTTATTTTCTATTTTTGATCCACGCTCAATACAATATGCGCATTTAGAAAAACAAACTTTGGTTTTTAGCTAAAATATTGTTTTCATTGACGATAATTAAACTTAAAGTTTCTAACATTATCTACGTTAGCACGTTGACTTCTTTATGATATTTAAATTTTTATCCAAGTATTTAAAATACTATAATTTAAATACGCTCATATATCACATTATAATTTTAAATTGTAAAAAACAAAAATGTATAAATACAGAGAATTTTCTGTTCTTTACTTTAGGTTAGATTAAACACTTTGCACCCTGCTACCACGCCCAGCATTGTTATGTGTTCACTAATATTAACTTTCATTTATAATTACACATTGGATTACATAGCAATCACTTGTAATTTAATAAATTAATAATGATCTATTACCTGACTCATATATTTTTTTTCATTTCAAGCACTGGCTGAATTGTAAAAAAATAAAAATAAACCCTCCCCTAACGTGTTTCTCGTCATAGTTACTTCGTTAATGTTTTCCCCTTTCTCCCACCATATGAAAAATAGTTCCTGTTCCTTTGAATATGACACAGTGTTCATAGTTTATTTTTAATGTATGTTAATGATAATATTTTTTTGTTCCTTGGTCAAAAAGAGTGAATACTAAATGTATATTTTATAATTGATAAAATATAATAATATATGTATATATAAATCTCACACATAGTTTTGTGCATTATAACATGTATATTACCACGTTAAATCTATAACAACAATACGACATTGTTTTGAGGCTAATGTATCGATGTAAAAATATTTGAAATAATTGTTAAAATTTTTAAAGTGAGATAAAACACAATTATATTAAATCGTATTTATTCGCATATATCAAATATTAATAGTAGACACAATGCACGTGCGTATATACATATTATTACAATGTGACATATCAAAAATATATATGTTATTCGTACAAACATATCTATATAATACAAATAAAAATATTATGTACCTACGTATACGATTTAAATTATAAATTCAATATTATATCTCAATTGGCGGACGGCGGTTCGACCTCGGCTACAAACCGAATTACCGCCATATTTGGCATGGATGTATGTAATGTTTCGTCAACGGATCGAGCTTTTGAAATGAATGAAACGTATATAAATGGCATGTATAAATGGAACGTAAATATTTCTTACGTATCCCCTCGTCTTAATAATACGTCTTATTGTCGCATAATATACATCCATAAACTATCATTTATATTAATCATAAATGACCGACACGGACAACAATATTATTCTACAAGCTCTACTGCAGATCTTCGTTCACCCCACTTCGCGTACCATCCGAAGTTACGGGCATCGATGCTCAAACGGTTCTGGTTCCTGCATTTAGACCGACTTAATTGGATTTGCCAGAACTGGTAAATATGGAAGACCGTAATCATTATACCACTCAGTCTACATATTTAAATATTATCTTGATTGAAATATTACATTTATTTACGCAATTATTGTTATGACATGATAGAGATCTACAATAAATAAGTAATTACAGCAATTTACGTATACAGCGTTTATATTTTCCAATAATATCGGTACCTGTGTATTCATCTGATTACATATTTAAGGCAACGAAAACATCCAATTTTTTAAATATGACATATATTTATTTAGATGTTCTAATAATAGTTAATACGAGATACTGTGCGCAGAGGAAAAAATAATTACGACAAACATTTATACGGTTATCACTTGTCTAAATCCCTTTATTATCGGTATTGACCTAACAGAAACTAAATAATAGATTTTAGTTTCTATTGTAATTTAGTTAATATAATACAATAGCCTAAACATATATTTATGTCGTCACTATTCAGCTATAAGTACTCCGGCGACCTATGAACCGTAATCCATTTAGTATTAATTATACTTTCCATTATAGCTGTATCGTGTTATCCTAATGATGTCGTTATATGTTTTAAATTGGCAGAGAATATTAACTTTATAAAAATCTAAAATATTTAGTTAATCAATAATAATGTGTTAGTACCTATTAAATATTAGGATGTTCGGACATCATAATATATTATCACTTCAAACACTTCTATAGTGGTAACCATACCATATTTTACAAGCAATAGATACCTCATAATAGGTATTCACATTAAAATATCAAATTTGGTATAATTTGTAGTGTTTGATTCATAAATTGTACGCGCTTCAAATGTAAATGTAATAATTAAAACGTCATTACATTATGATATTAAATAATTAAATATAATAATAGAAATGGTATTTATTATTTATAATAGTTTAGAAAAAAAATTTACGTATTTAACCATCTACGTTTTTGTCCTATTTTTGTGAATTCCAGAGGTAATAGATTACATACGTCATTGCGTCATACACGATTATTAACCTTTGCACTTTTTAATAGAATATTAAATACTATTATAATGTACTATTTGTTGTAAATATAAAATGCAAAATGAATAAGGAAATACAAATGGAATCATTGGTACTGCTGTACATAAATATATTTTTGTAAAATATTTTTAAATATATATTTTAAATGTCATTCTAAATGGTTTTATAACCAGGTTACTATACTAAAGACTACCAAAAAAAAAAAAAAAAACAATTTAATTTTAATTTATTATTCGTATTATTAATGATACCTACCTAAACAGTATTTTTACTTGATCCAATTTTTGCACAACAGTTCAAAGAAACCTTAAAATCATTATATAAAGTCATTACTTTTACAATTTCCAACTTCACAATCCGCTATTCCAGAGTTAAGCATTGTCATGCACGGAAAGTGCTGGGTATGTCTGAGCACCTCCTTAGATTTTGTAATTTAGGCCTTCAAATGTAAGTCCTAGAATCGGGGAGGAGGGCTGTATTGCCTGTATTTTATCTGATGTTACTAAACAAAATGTGCGATTAAAAAAAAAAAAAAAAAAACATAAAACGTGTGATATTTATTAAATTTGCGTTTAAAAACCTATAATCATATTACAATGGTTTAAATGTATCTACTACAATCCTAAAATATAAAAATCACATTATTTTGGAAACAGACTTAGATAAAATTGGTTAAGACAATTACTACTGAATAATACGATACAATATTGCTAATTTCATGATAGGAATAGTGAAAATTGATCTATACATGCTACGAAATTGTTTTTAACTTTTTGATATACTGAGTTTTGATTCTTAAAAATTATATTTTAATTGCAATAACCATTACCAAAGTTATTTTATTTAAATTACATTTAATTTTAATTAAATTTATTAACCTATTTGTATACTAAGATTTTTTTAGATCATATTTTATTATATAATAATTATAAGTAAATAAGTTCTTATGATTATTTAAATAAAATTATTAAATAGCTTAAGTAAAATTCGTGTATTGTTAATTGTTATTTGTTATTATCATAAATTTGTGTTGTTATTGTATTATTTTGTGTAAATTGTAAATAATAAAAATAATATAATTTATTTGAGTTAATGTACATATATAACTTTTTATATTTTTCAATGGTTAATTTGAACTAAAAACTTGTTAATACTCGACGGTTTAAAAATATTAAAATATCATTTTTTTTTTTAATTGAAATTACATTTAAATTTGTTTAAATTAAAGATAATCCGTAAGCATTGTTCAAAACAACAAAAGTCATATAAGTAATAACAGTCCGATTGTCCAGTAGTCTGGGTTGCCTAATGAATATTAAACTTTTAAGTGTCCAACATAATATAATATGACTTAAACAATAAGCAATGTTTATTGATTGTAGATAGGTTTTATCTGTATAGGTATGCATGATGTTTATATTCAACGTTGGCTGTAGTAATATACTTTTAACCTTGCGAATGTCAATTAATAAATAAATATATAATTTACTGTCTATAGTTATATTAATAATAATAATTCAGTACTGAGAAATCAATTTTACCGTGTAAAAATAATTTTTTAACAATTGAATAAGATATTTAAAAAGGCAACAAAATTTGAATTCCTTATTCTTTTTTTTTTTTTTTTTATTCAATCTGTGTTTGTAGGTAATTCTGCATGTTTAGATTTGTTTTAATTATTATAAATTATTAATAATACGAAATTTTTGTTTTGTGTTAGTTTTTAACTTTGTATGTTTTTTTCATTTTCATTAATTCTATAAATAAATGAATTTGCACATTTGGAGCTGTTTTATGCGAATGTACCATACCTATTGTAAATTATTATTGTAAATTATCTTTTTATAAACTGTTTAGTAATTAGTTTTCACAAACGCCTAAACTTATACAAAAAATAATATAAATATTAATATCTTTTAAACACAACCTAAAGGAATATAAAAAAAAATAAACCATCTCATCAGTGAATGTTATTGGCCAATTCATTTATTTGCACCACTCAATTCACGTCCCATTTAAAATACTTTATTGTCCAATGGAACTTCAAAAAAGCCCTGAAATTCTAAGCGGCTGTATTTATATGTTTAGTGAGGTCAATTTAATTTTGTAAGGATAACCTGACGTCCAAGCTATTTTCTTTCTGTATTTCTTCAGAATTGTTTAATCCACTGCTGATCGTTGACTCTTTTACTTTCTGTTCCTTTAGATGTTCATTGTACATCCATCTATTCGAATTTAATATAACATTTGAATTGGTAATTTTTATTTAGAATATATATTTAAATTATTATATACTTAGTATAATCAATATGTATCAAAATCAAATACTCACAGAAATATAACCGCTGCTGGAGCCGTTAACAATCCTCCGAGTAAAAAAAACGCTCCAGGAAATGTTTTTAATGTATGCTTATACACAGAGCTGTACATTGGTCCGTAAATCAGTGGTACTATGGCTTCACAAACTCCAAAAATTGAATTTACCTTACCTAAAATATTTTCAACATATTAACTCAATTATTTATATTTAATTACTAATATCTACCTAATTCATCTGACGGTACTAGCTTGGAAATAATTGATCTCATAGCAATAAATGATGTACCATTTATAATTTCCACAAGTGGTGCTGAAAACATAGTGTTGTGTATTACCACGTTTTTAGCAAAGTTTTTTTGTGACTCTAACATATTTAATATATTAATATAAATAAAATAAAAATCACTATTAAATATTAAATATAATTATACTACAGTAAATTTTATAAATTTTAAATATTCCTTAGTTTTGTATTTTCTTTATAGTAAATATTCTATATTTTTTTTTTAAATATTAACTGAATAATTTAATCAAGAAATGTATGAATAACTCACCTAAGTAAAATATTAAAGCAGTAGGAGCAAACGCATACACAAATCCTGCTAATATTTTGCTCATACATGACATTACTCCAATTAAGGCATCATCGATTCCTAATTTATGACTGAATACACCGACTGAGAACATCGTACCTTAATCATTAAAAAAAATAGTTAAAATTATACAGTTATCATTATAAACTCCACAAAATCAATCGGTTAGTAAATTATGACAATTCTAAAATAATATAAAGTATTTGAGTATTGCTATTCAAATAATTTTTCATGTATTAAATTCATGTTTTAAATACTTTAAGGTAGATAAATTGAAGTATTTCAGTACATTTAAAAAACTGTTTATAGTATTAAATAGATACTTTCCTTCAAAAACTTTTTTGATTTTCAATTTAAAATACTTTGGAACTGTTGTAAAAATAGACAATGAACACAAAAATCTTATCTTTTTACATAATATTTTACCTATTGCCTATACTAAGTTGTTTTTTTTAATGGAATATGAAGTCAAATAGTAATAAAATATAAAACCAATGTGTCAAATCCTAAAAAATATCATTATCTATCAATTTTTTCAGATAATTTTACTCTAAAAGATCATACAAAAGTAATAAAGAAAAAAGTTTTACATAAATATGTTTTATCTATGTTTCATGATATCACTATTTAAATTTTAACCATATACCTAGTTGTGCAACCATGAAGAAATTATTTGATGTTTATGGGTTTACTATAACCAAAAAAAAAAAAAATAAAAAATAACTAATTTGATTGATATTCATCTTGAGCAAACTTTATTTTAAAATGTAACCAAAATTTGTACGATTAAAAATATATACATTATTGATAAAATCTTAAATTCCAATAAAATAATAAAATAAAATGCATTGACTTTGATAATTATTTAAAAGTTTTAATTATCTACTATTTTGCAAATAATTTAAGCTAAGTTATTAAAACATTTATCTAAAACTTTCAATTACATATGAAATTAATGAAAGTATAAAAATAAAACCGTTTCTGAAACTATATTGCATTTAATTAATAATATCATAGTATTTGGTAAAAATAAACAGTATTTCAAATTATACCCACTCAAATACTTTAATAAATTACAAAAATAGTTTTTTTTTTATATATACAACACTACAAACCTATAAGATTGGTAACCATAGCATATGTGGAAAACAAACTGAAGTCAATTTCGTTCCAATTGAATTTTAATCGTGTAAACATGTACATCATTGACATTTCCCCTAAAAAATCAAAAATTGTATTAAATAAAATGAGTATTGTATTGCAATCACAGAATTTTACGGTTTTACATATAATTTCATTATATTATAAGAACAAATATAATACTTCAACAATCATTAATAATACGTAATGATATAATGATACCGACAATAGTAACTTTTATAATAAGTTATGTAACATTTCATTGTATGATATCATTTGTAAGATATAAAATTAGTCAGACATGTCCTTATTTCTTATTACACACCGAACGCATAAACGTAACTAAAACTTAAAGCTGTTATAATAAATTAGTCGTATGCGTATAAAATTTTGTGATAAATAATTATGTAGTGGTCTTTAGGGATATACAGTAATACTAATACAATACATAAAAAAGTACCTTGTGGTAGTATTTTGCCAACAATAAATTTATCGTTAATCATTAAAATATAATAAGCAAAAAATGTGTCTAACGGATATTGAAAACAATATAAGTGAATAGTTTAATGACTAATGTATATAGTTGGTACTATAAAATCTCATCGTATTCTAATTTCTAACATATCTAATATAATATATTATATTAAATTACGCATTGAATAATTTAAATTAAATGCCATAGTATATTGTAAATTATTTTATACTATTTCAAAACATGTAATGGATAAAATAAATTAAAGTATTAAAAAAAATATATTTGTATTTTAATTTACGAACCATATAAAGGACCCATTACGACGATGACGACAACTAACAAAGAAATAATTCTTAACCTTCTGTTGTGTTGTCCTTCTTTAAACGTAACTCGAATAGCCTCCTTGATGTTACTCAAACTAAAAAAATCTTCGATCAAATAAAAACAGGATGTAGACTTTGGTGGTTCTTTGCTTTCGAAACTTGTCTCTGGTTTTGTTTCTTTTATAAATATCACGCCATATGTAATCGTAAATATGTACATCACTATAGCTATGATGTATACACCGTAAAATCCGAGTGCTCGGAACAATACACCAGACAACGCGGTACCGATAGGAACGGCTACGGAGTAGAAAACATTCGCTATTCCAATTCTTAGTGTACGGTATTTTACCTGAAAGCCAACAAAAATGTACAATAATTGGAAAGAATCTTTAACTTGACAAATCAAAAATGTATTTATTTTGGTTATATACACCGGATTATAGATTTGTTTCATGCGTATAATTTCTTGATAATATGTTAAAATTACTTTTATCCTATAAGTGATTTTTTTTTTTTTTTACTTAACTCCAAATGAAAATATTTACCAATAAAATATAGATATTTTAGCTGTATAATTTGAAAAAATATACACTATAACTACACTAAACTATTTCGTTCAAGTTAACAACTAAGCTATTTACTACTGATGTATATCGACTATAGCCGATGTCTATTTTTGATTTTTCGAACTTACCGATGATACATCGCCTATATAGCTGAATATAGCCATAACCATTGTCATCCATCCACCGGTCATAGCCGGAGGCAGAGACTCCACCAATCCGACTACTTCCACAGGGAACTCGTAAAAATAATAAGTACAGAAAAGTAGCCCTATACTGGTCAGTAACTCGCCCACAATGGGTATCAACATACACGGCTTCCGCTTATGGTTCCGGTCACTCCACGACCCTATGAATATTATCAACACCATCGGTATACTACTCTGTACGATTGTTTTCCATATGATCATGTCGGCCACCAGCTCTTGGACCATGACTTCCTCTTTAGCGTAATCGTCCGAGTTCCGATTATCTAACGCCGAACATGTACTGTTCTCCAGTTTCAGATTCACTCGGCACGCCTTCTGCAGATTCAAGTTCTGCGTGCACAGCCCCGTCAGAACGCTGGTCATGATATAACACCCGAACATGGGCTCGATTGTACAGTGATCAAAAATGAACTTGAATTTCGACAAGACGCTCATGTTTTGCCATGCTTCGTGATTTTCTCCCGGTGGTAAAGGTTGCTCACACTTTTCCTCGGTAGGTTCTTCACGCGTCATAGTTTTCAATTCGACGTTATCGATCATGTTATTAGTATCGTCGTCGACTAATCGAACACTATAGCAGCTAGTTGAAAACGACCAACAACAATTTCAACTTAAAATCGTCCGATACATTCTAAAATCATAAAATTTTAAAACATATCAAATGAAATATAAATGGTTAATTTATTGTTTTTATACTTATATTAATATTAAACATATAAATAATAACTTCAATACAACATATTATTCAGAAATGAAAGAAAATGATATTTTTAACAAGGCATTTAACTATTTATTCTATTTACTGTACGTATAGTGTAAATGTAACGTTTGTAAAACCAAGACAGTAGACATTAAATAGCATTCAATACAATAAATATTGAACCTCACCAAACTTAATACATTCATTCATTTAAATGAAATTTTGATATAACTATAAATTATTTATTTTAAATGTTTATATCCTTATACTTTGATTCACAATATTAGTAAAATTAAAGGAATAGAAACAACATATAATGCTTACATCTTTGAATTTTATATTAGGTCAATCAACTTTAATAACTTATAGAGGCCACAGTTTTGGTTCTATACTTCTACGGATATTAAATTTGCTATGTTGCAACACAATTTATAAAAGGAACACATCCTTTTAATCATTATTTTATTAAGTTAGTTTTGAAATTTGAATACTCAAAACATATTTATGTACATTTCTGTGTGATTTTTTATTTATTTAAATATTATATTTGGATTATAAATTAATACTTTTTTCAACCCTCCCTGTAAATTCATATTGACTTCGATTATTCTGTGATTTAAAAAAAAAAAAATAAAGAAACAAACAAACAAAAATTTAATCAAGTTTTAATGTATTTTAAACACATGTTTGTATTATAATAATAAGAGTTGTTATTAAAAGTTTAAGTTTGAAATCCTGATATTATTATGACGTATTTGAATCTACCTACTATCAAAAATAATGTATGCATTTTTTTCATAGTATTACTCAAACCTTATCTATTAAACTTAAGTAATCTCTATATATCTCCTTTTCTTCATATCATTCTTACATACTGTAATATCTATCATATAATAGTTGTATTAAACTGATTTAAAAAATATTACAGAAATTGAGCGTACCACAATGCACTAAGTACCTATTCTAAATTTTAATGCAAACTAAATCATTTCATCCAAAAAACTATAGTGATCAAAGCGCAATTTGATCTTATCTAATCTTATTTTATAATTTATTGAGTTAAATATGTCATATTATTCAATTTTAGATATTTTAATTTAATTTTATATACCTGTAAAAGCGTAAACCAAAACTACAATAACTAACATAAAATATTATGTGATAATTGTGTAAAAATTAATAACGAAATCATAACTTTGTTATTTATAGATATTTTCTTACATTTAGCTTCTTTAAACAATAAAATTATTTCAAAATTATCTAGAGTATGATACTTTAGATTAAAATAATATAAATAACGTCTTATACTTACATAGGTTTTTATACTAAAACTACTAATCATAGAATATTAAAAAAAATCTTTAAATACTTCAAAACAAAATATAATTTGATATTAAAATTAAATATTATTGCATAAAATTATATTTATGCTATCCTAAACAAATTTTAGAAGACATAGTATACATGTTTTATAATATGGATAATACTTTTCAATACAAAGCATCAGACATTCGAAAAATTCCAGTCTTAAAATTCATTACTCTTCGAATGATAACTTTATATTTTACAATATAACAACATTTTACACATTAACACTATACCTTAAAACAAATTCACTCGATACAAATTGAATGAAAATATCCGTAAAAGTAAAAAACCAAAAAGTAAACCTACATTAGGTTATTTAAGTTAATTTACCTCATATAAAATATTTAAATCATAAACAAATAAACTATTTCCGGAATAATTTCAGTTCTTCAAATTTTTTTTTATTTATGCAAAAAAATAACAGTTAAATCTTTAATTTTGAAGATGATTTCTAATAGCAAATTGGATATAGTTTAAAGAGGTAATTTTGTATGATATAGATTAATTGACTTGATAACATTTTCAAAATATGTTACAGGTTTTGAGTTATTTGTATAGATTTAAAATTTACAATTTTTTTTTTTTATTATTATTATTTCTATGAATGTATAAAAGTAAATAAAAAAATGTTTTTACGGTCAAAAAATTTGAAAATTTAAAGATATAAGATTCTACATAAGTTGTTCTTTTAAGTATATAAAAATATTTAAAATACATAAGCATAATTTATTTTTATGAACATTTTAAGTTCAAATTTGGTCAAAATTACTTATTTAAGCTATAAAACTATTTATTGTTTTTTTATAATTGTTGATAAATTATTATATCAATTTATAATTGATGAATTATAAATTTATGCATATTATTAGATTGTATACACACAATGGCATTTTCAATTGCAACGTGTTTAGCAAAAATGAATTCAATCTATTGTATTAGAAATATTAAAGTAAATTGCTTTAATAGAAACATCAAAAACCATAATATGAAATAATATACATAGAAATATAAGCTGATAGACTGTCCCCGCTTAGAATCGTTTTATTTGTATACAATAATAGATATACCATTGAATTAAAATTTAACATATCCTTTACAGTGACCCACTCAACATCTACTGTTTAGCAAAGCAGTACACAATTTTACCACCTTTTACAATTTATTGTAAAACCAAAATATTTTTGTCAGTTTAAAATATAAATGGATTAATACTCTGGAAATATGATTTACTTATAATAAATATACAGAGAAATTAAAAAAAAAATAATAGTTAGGCACTTAAAACAAACAATTTTATCATCACTATTTCATGATCAAATTTAAGAAAAAATAGTACAACTAATTTTTATTTATTACTAGGGGAAATAAAACAATAGATATTCATTTCGTCAAATAGAATGCTTAAAATTAAAAAAAAAAAAAACTATACTAAATATATTATAAATTATAATATACTCCTTAATAACGTATAAAAGACATTCTCGTTGATTCTTATGTAGGTACTTAAACGAATTTTAAATTGAATAAGGTCTTTATAATAAAAATAAGTTTAATTCCGAAGTTTAAACCATATACTGAAAATGTACAAGGTTAAAATAATTTGTTATTATTTACAGTACAAATATAATTTAAGTTTATAGCTTGTTAACATGTAAATATTTTTAAATTAATTGTACATATATAATTTATTATAATTAGTATAATTTCAAACTCGATGGAGCAAAGGCGTACATTAGATAAGGTTTATACCTAAAGTAGGTGAATCTAAATTAATATATTAATATATTTTCTACATTAGTTTAATCACGGATTAAAATATAAATTTACAAAATTAGTTTCAATAAACAAATGATTGTTCATATTTATATTTATTATAAGCAAAAATATGGAGCAACGTTTCTAAATAAACTTTTTATTAAAATGTATAGTTTTAACAAAACCTACGTCTTATTTTAATCATAATTATATACGTATAATATGCATGTAGTACATTAAACATAGTGGGACTACCGTTCTAGATATTTTTTGTGCAAAACTATTTGAAGAAAAATACGAACATATCAGCAATCGTAGAGATAAAAATTCAAATCAAGGTGCATATTGATTTGGTATTGAATATTTGACGAATATTTTGAAGTAGACACTGTACTGCTACAATAAGCTGAGCACTCGTTGATGGCCTCTGTGGGTCACTCATTGTTGGACACCATTCGTGTTTACCCGTGATATAATGCGTAAGCGACTGTGCATGCATTTAGACAAAAATATATTCCAATCATAAAAAAAAATTGTAAAATATAGTTGAACGTGGGCATAATAGCGTTTTCGATAAATATGATAAAAAAAAAAAAATAATAATAATAATACATTTTTCATAATGTTTGCAGGATGGCGTTTAAAATATACGAATTACGTACGTACGTGTACTTGTTGCTCACCTCTTGTCCATTTACACGTGAGCGCGTACAATATATCATATCATCACTCTCGGCGGCTGAATGTAAAAAACACGATCGGGACAACAATGATATTATTAACGGTCGGTTTACTTCGATATTTTACGGTTAATATTAATTTATAATGATTGTAACGTGTACGCAGAAAAATCGTTTATTACGACCGTATCACCACCAACAGCAGGTGCATAACTATATTACATTATACGCTATGAAATATAAATATTAAAATAATATTTATATATCGTAATAATTCACCGTGTTACAGATGACGGTGGTTCGATAACAGCAAACCGTGATTGCGACGATAGACCGATTGTTTTAACGCACACGACGCGTGTTCGGCGTACCTACGCGCTTTATTATTATTATTATTATTATTATTATTATTGTCTATACGTCGTCGTGTACGGTTGCGGATTCGCGTGGACTTGGCGCATTCCGAACATCGGCGTCTGCGGGAAAAGAAAAGTAAAGAAAATATCAAAACCGAGCAAACATACACGCCTAACACTCTACCTACTGCGTGCTCTCGTGCGTTATAATATATACGTGCGCAGCGAACGCTCGATAGTAATGATATTATTATTACGACGATCCTCTCGCGGTCCAAATAACGTCCTGTTTAATGTACGATTCCGCCAATGATTCCGCGCAATGATAAATATTAATAAAATATTTTTATTTTGTGACGCGTACAACTTATTCGTGTGCGTACAAGGAAGGACCACGATCGTACGGCCACTCGCCGTCGGAGGGCGGGGACGGTGGCTTCGGCGAAATGCTACTTACGTCCTGTACAGATCGAATATGCGTTTAGTCGCTCTCTCTCTTACTCTCTCGTGTAACAATCAACAGATATAATAACGTTATAACAATATACACCACACGCCGTTTTCGCTATCTCTCTCACTTACACACACACACACATACATGCACACCCGATGCTCTATCTAGCTAATTTTTTTTTTTTTTGGTCTTTTAGAACCCACACGTACACACTTGTGCGTTTCAGAGCTTGATTTAAGCGATAAACCTAATAGATTGCCGTGTGCAAACGTCATAGTCCGTACACTGGTAAAATCCCGGTAATAACGGGGTCATGTCTTAAACGCGTATCACTGTATTATAAATGGGTATACATATACAATGTATACTTTCAAGACAAATCCATTATCATCGTGATAACCAGCCATCAAATTTGGTGCTGGAGTCTCTTTGGATTTTGTATAAGAATATTGTATTTACGTTGTTGTATACAACTTATAGGTTGGTAAGTAGGTATTAATTGTATTATAATCACGAATTATATTAACCGTTTATTGATTACGATTATTTGATTTCGTTCATCATTGAGCGAGGAGTAAACAATGATATAAATATAAATGTACATATAGGTACTTAAAAAAATAAATACATACGGTCACATTATAACATGCTAGATAGATAATAGAAAAAAAAATAGATAATATCCAATTAAAATTAATCTGATACACTACATATTATGCATTAAATGTAGAGTTCAAAGTATTAGACAAAATTCAAAAGATAACTCCGAGATCTTTCAGAGTTTACGGCTACTCATTCATAATAAATCATTGAAATAACTATTCTGATTCATATTGCAATGATTTAACGATGACGTGTGGTTTTATTTATACCTGATTCCACCATTAAAAGCACTAAAAATATTCAATTTTAAAATATAAGCTTGATTTCTAGTAGATAATTTGATCTCATAATTAGTCGTTCAAAAGTAAGCTATTCTTTGTACTTTTTCAAGTTATCGAGAAAAAAAATTCGGAAATGCGTAAATAAAAATTAATTATTATTTTAAATAATTCAAATACTTACCAAATAATTATATTAACGATTTTGAAAAACAATTTTATTTCCTTAATAAATTGGCTTATTTTATAATACATTTATAGACACTTGAAAAAGTTGACTTTGGTTTTTTTTTGTTTATGAAAATTTAACTTAAGATTCCTAACTACTTGTTCTTACTAGATTAAAAATAAAATATATATCATTAAAACATATACATTTTTTAAAAGCGTTTAAATTACAAGTTACATAGGTGTTAAAACTTTTTTTTTTTATATAAACGTTAGATGTTGAATAATTCTTGATCAATTAATGAGTGTAATAATTTACTTTATAACACACAAATCATAATATACGAGTATTTATCACCGTCAAACAATAAAAAATTTAATTATTGAACAAGTAAAAGTCAAACTTCAATTTGTGCTTCGTCTTATAATCAACAATTAAACAATCTTTAAAAACAGGCTTACTCAGATTATAGTGCATAATATTGTATTTTATAATTTTTAAACTAACCACTTAGTTCAAAAGAACGATAAAGGTGTGTTGCAAGTTTCCAGAGTGATACGTTTGACCAAAAATCAAAGTTTTGTTCGTTATGATAAAACATAAAGTGTACATTTACAAGAATATACAAGCACTAAACAGTATATATATCACATAATATAATCATATGCTTCAGGTTTCTAAGAAACTTACTTCATCAGGATTAATCAAATATATTGTTATAGCGTTGTTAAATCGATTAACTTTACGCCTAACGGTATCAAAATTGTATTAAATAATAATAATAATGATGATAAAAAAAAAAGATAATAGCATATTATAATAACTTTGAAATTAGCTTAGGTTTAATGATCTAATTAATCGTAATTAAAATGCAGGCTTAGAATGATAAATTATTGTTATTAATTAACAACATGCTCAATACTTTATGTTGGTAAAAAAAATCAACTTTAATTATTAAAATAAAAATATCTAAAAGTAACCTATACATATCACGAAAAAAAAAAACTATTTAATATACTTGGTACTTACTAAGTGATCTTGTATATTATGATTTGATATTACAGTACCTATGTACTTTAAAAAAAATGCTTGTATCATTTATTTTAATTTAAAATATCTTTCTTAAGTTTTAATACAAATGTAAATAAAACAATTATTTAAATCTGCAAAAACAAAATTATAAAATAAATAATAATACATAAAATTTAGTAATACAATAACCAATTTACATCTACAAAACATAAGTTCTTATACAAATTTGTTTTCTTATAAAATCATAAGAATGAGTATATACTATTTTCCAATAATACAAATTAAAGTTAATCTTATTACCTAACTATTATAATTTCATTTTATGTTGGTTCTTCCAGTTTTTGGTAATGTTAACACCAGCAATCCTGAAACTAAATAGTTAATATAATTAATAAATAATTTCATTTATAACTTAATATCGATTAATAATATTACATTATCCTATATTAAAGACTAAATACTAATATTCATAAGACTAGAGACATGTATTATTTTATTTTATTTTTTTTTTTTTTTTTTAATAATCCGTCAAGGTTCTTAGTCACTATAACTTATTTATTATTTGTTCAATATACCAATCTATTAAATCTTCCTAAGTTGCCATTTTCAGCAGATTTGATATCTATCGTCTACTTATCTTTTTCGTTATTTTTCTCTTAGTATCTTTCTTTCCATAGTCGCTATAATAATTTGGTTATAATTTTATCTAACCTCTTTATATCTTTACTCATTGTATTTTCTTTTCTCAAATAAGTTGTACAATAGATAAAAGGTTTTGACATTTTTGTATTTCGTTTCTAAATACTGGTCTATGACGTATTGTTCTGATTTATTTATTTTTTTTAAATCTTTTGATCACATTTAATTGAAATACTTATTTGAGAAAGGTCCTCCCTTTAATTTTAAGTAGCGTCCAACGAATATACTACCTTTAACTCAACACTTATCTCCTAGTTCATATTGTTTTTTTGTTTATAATAATTCTTAAATACCCAATTCTCCTTTTCAAACATATTGTTTTATAATTCTAAATTGGAGCAATTTTCTAACCTTTATGTCAATACCAAATTGTTCAAAACTTTTGAATTTTCTCTTTTTACTTTTAAACTTATAATTTCTCCTATTTTTTATAATTTTCTAAAGTGTTCTTGAACATATTTTCTATTTTATTTGGGATTATTATATACTACAAAATAAACATGTATTTAATACTTTTGAATTTATCAACATGTAATTTAAATCTATATTAATAAAAATATTTAACAAATTGAAAGTTAAAATAAAAATAGTGAACTAATTATAACTTATAACAGTAAGTAATGACCTATTTTCTATTTAATGTGCAGTGTAGATATATTACATATATAATTATACATCCAAAAATACTATTTAGTACTTGCGTATACTTACTTATTAAAAATGAACACGATACTAATATTGGAATTACACAAAGCTCATCAATAAATACTCCAACTACAATATTACCCATAAGTGCACCTACTTTTCCAAACGTAGAACCTATAGATACAGCCATACCCCTAAAAAAAAATATGATTTAATAATTATTATTTCAATCGAACTCCAAAGTTTACCTGTATTCTGTAGGAAACAATTCAACAGCAATACAATACATAAGACTAATACCAACGCTGGAAAGAGCTTCAAACACTGCAGATAATATGAGGTTCTCAAGTGAAGATGTAATGAAGTACAACAAAGCAGCAGACAGACCTGATCCTAAAAAGCTTACCACTAGATAAAACAGAAATCCAATTTAACTCTATTAAAGTAAAACACAACATTTAACACCTTCTATTAGTTAAACTATCATTTAAAATTTTTCACTAATTATGTTTAGATGATCAAAATTATAAATATTGAGTAAGTAATATTTTAAAATATTTTAAAGCTTGTTTAATGCAATATGTAATACGTTTAAATTAACAAACATAGATATCATAATAAATTTAACCAAACAAATTAGCTTGTATGATGTTATCACATGTATTTTGCTTAACTAAAACTAAACGATATAATATGCCATGTTCATAGTTCATCCAGAAGGTATAATATTACGTATGCAGCTCAATAGTTCATATATTTAAATAATGAGCAGTATATATTTTCCAAGATTTATAATAATATTAGGTATTTACATAATCTAAAAAATAGAAATTATTTTTAACAGATCGATATTAAAAACAAATAAACTTTTTATTTGTTTAATATTAAATTATAATAATTTTGAATTTATTTGAAATAAAATAAAATATCCAATCTGTTACAAATATCTACAATGTCAACAATCATTTATAATATTTACGTGTTTCAAATTAGTAAATCACCAACCAATGTTTATTGAAGTAAAATTAACGAAAATTATTCGAATTGCTATTATAGTTTTAAAAATTATTCGAATAATTATTGTGAAAAAATCTATCTGAATAATAATTGATTCAAATAAAATTTTATCTTGATAAAAATGTATTTAAATATGCTCTACTCTGGTTGTATAATAGTTAATAAATTTTCATATTTATATGTCCACCTACTACTATTAACATAAATCCAATTTTTTTCTTGCTTAATATATTTTAGTATATTTACTGTTGGATTAAGATTAAATTTAAGCTATTTCCTTAAACTAATTTAATTACGAATCCTTCAATTATTATGTACCTAAAAAAAACCTGAGTCCTAGTTTGTTAACGAACAGTGGGACGATAAGACTTGTTGGTATGCATGCGATTCCAATAATGACTATGTTTAAATATACTGATTGATCTATATCATCATTGCACTTGTAATCTATCTTTTCAGGTTCGATCTTATACATAGAAACAATTTCACACATATTCGTCGTGTTTTTCGGTCCTGAATATAATGTCTCATACCATCGTAACCTATTCATCAGCTCTGGAAACCATAGCATCAACATGTAATAACTGCAAAACAACAAATTAATGTATTGCTTATTGATTAAGTGTCTAATTTTGGTATAGAAAATTCTTGACATTCACTCATTGAATTAGACGTGTTACCTGGTAGTGGAACAATATTGAATAATGCATGTAATTATGGCTATAAATTTGAACTCAGACGTGAACAGCCCAATAGTACTCTCATAGAGACCATTTAAGAAACCACTACTCTTTTCATAAGTACAATCAGGTAATATTAATGAAGTCACCTTAAAAATCCAGAAGTGTAATAAATATTTATTGATAGAGGTCCTATGACTATAAGATTAGTATAAATTAATAAATAAGATTTAAACTTACCGGAAAATCATCAATAGTTTTATTGTTCCATTTATAAACGAATTTCAAACAATCGATTGTCTCATCGTGTTTACCTTTTGAGAGTAAGAATTTTGGACTTTCCGGCAATCTTACCAATAAGTATGCCAATATTATGCTCGGAAAAGAACATATAATCACAAATAAATTCCATGATCTGAATAAAAAGAATCCATATTCGATTCTGAATGTTTGTGGTATAATTATCCACGCCACACCTAAAAAATACTAGTGTTATTTTTTTATTTTTCATTAAGTTTATCAATCATTATCTACTGTATTATTATATTTTAGGTACCTATTTATTTTATTTTAATTGCTTTTATTTTGAAACATTAAAATATACCTATATATATATATATATATATTAATAAATTAATTTAAATAGATTTTTTTTATTATTATTATTATTAGCTTTTAGTAATACTCTTATAGTTCAATAATTATAAATACAACATAACTAATTTAACAAATTTAAGTAGATTATTAGCTAATTTAGCTATACACTAAAATGGTTTTAAGTTACCTACTTACTTGATTAATATTATTAAAAATAACGCATTGAGTATAAAAATAGAAAGATAATCTAAAAAATGAAATTATTTTTATTCAATCATTTGTTAAAATGGGTGATAGTACTATTTATTTTATTAGAGGCATCTATTTAGTATTGCACTTTTACATTGGCAATTATTGTACCAACGTATTTTTATATAATTGTATAGCATGATTATGAATTTCAATCGTCCAAGTCCAAAATGGTATAACAAAAAGTTAAAAAATTGAAAATAATATGATCTTAGAATTTTATGAAAAATGTATTACCTATATCAATATTTTATAATACTCCAAATTCTCAATGTAAGCGAATGTAAAATGATTCACGATATTGTAGTCTTAATTTAACAGCAATATATTAAACAACAAAATATAAAATTCATATAGGATTTACATATATAAGCATATTATATATTCTAGCTTTTAACGTAAGTAAAAAAATAAATTTTAAAAATAACTTTTACCTATATATTTTAGTCCAATTATGTAATCATTAAGTATAAATAATTTGGTTTATTATTGTGATTTTTAAATAATAAATTATTAAAATAAATGTATAATATATTGACAACATAATATTAATTTTGCGATTTTAATATTGTCTCTATTAATATTTTATTTTATTTCGTTCCACGTCCTATTACTGCAATACAAAGGCCATAGGAAAATTATTAATGTTTTAATAGGTAGATACGGGTCTTATATACCAATCCAATTAAATGTTAACGTTTTATAGCATCAAAATTAATCATCTCAAATTCTTTAATGTATAATTATTATGATATTACAAGCGATTATTTTAATTTATTTTGTTCACATGGAGGTATGGAGCACACGATTATACCTAACAAACGTTTAATAATTATTTGTCGACGAATATATACATATTATTGAACCAAATTAATTTTAAATGGAATATATTATTGTATAATATATTAAAATGTGATATTATTATCAATGAATATCAATATGTGATAGTCTACCAACAATAAATATCGCTGATGGTACCACCTTCAAGTACACTTTACGAAGTATACTCCAGTCCGGCATCCACCCGGAACCATAGGTGCTAGTCTTATTATTCAAATATTATAATGCTTACATGGAAGTAATATAATACCACTCGTCCAGAAAATTTCCATCCAACATAGAAATTTTTCACGGTATTTGGCATTAATGAATTCTCCTAAGTAAGAATATAGCACTGTAGCACCAGACACCCTATATACGAACAAAAAATTTATATTTTAGAAAATGCAAAGACATCTTAACATCATACATAAATAAATATAATATATAAATATCAATATTGCGGTTATCGTTATAATTTTATGGATGTGGCTTATTGATATCAAACCTTCATCTAACACATTTGTCTAATAATTCTTTAACATTTTTTTAAGTTTCTTAGTTCTTCCTTACACAATATACTAAAGAAAAACTAAAATATTATTTTATAGTTACAAAAAGGAGCACATAAAATCTATGTAGTTAAACTTGAAACTTTTTATACTAGGTAATCGAGAAAGTTTTAACACCCCTACAGGAACCGAATAATATAATATTATATAATATTTATAAGTATTATGAAACCAATAGATTCCTCGTATAAATTATACTAACTAACCTGGATACAACAGTTAAAACTGTTGATAGCCAAAATTAAATCTTAAGAAATCAAAATGTACCAAATATTTAGTGTAATAGGCATTCGTAGTCTAAAAACAAAGGTCCTGGAGTAGCATTGTACTTATTATTCACTATTGGCAATACCATTGCGCACGCTGTTCATAAAGCATTATATTTATATCATGTTTAATTTACCCAAATCCACTCATCAGTCGACAAAATATTAACACTGGGTATATTTGAGATACACTAGATATGATACTGAAAACACCATCCATCATCATACTCACTATCAAGGCATATCTTCTACCTTTGGAATCAGCTATGTAACCCCAAATAAAAGATCCCGTAAACATTCCTAAAATAAACCAAATACATATGAATAAATTTTACCTCGGTAACAAAATATACGTACCAATCATGGAAGCTCCATTTAAGATTCCTTTGTGGACAGAAGTCATATAAAAATCACATTGGGCTGACGGTACAACAAAAGACACTGACGTCACGCTAAAAGCAAATGCCGCGAAAAGTGATCCACAAATAAATAACAAGTAGTAATGAAAATGTCCAAATCCTAATTATTAAAATGTTACAATTTTATTAGTATATTTATAAAATATAAAAATGGATACCATTCTGCAATACATAAAGTATCAATTAGGACACTATATTAGTTGTATTAATTTTGAATTTAATGATATATAATAATACATGGAAAACTGAGCGGAGACGAACTGTCGATTTATATTATCACAAACTTTATTTCTTGATGTTTTTTTTGGAGTAAATATTTATTAAAGACGTTAATTTTATTCTTAATAACACAACAGGTTGATAACATTTTTTCCGATAATATTGAATTTATCAAATTATTAGGATTTAATTATTATAATAATATATGTGTATATTGTATTATATCAACTTATATAAGTTAAAATTCAATAACATCTTTCTGTAAAAAAATATTCATAATATAAATATTTAATACCTTGTAAAATTATTTTAAAATATCATTGTGTATAGAAAAATGTATAATAATTTAATAAACATAAAAAATTTAAGTTACCATGAACAATGTTTTTAAATTATAGCAAAACAATTAACAATTATTCATTACTTAAATACGTATTCTCGTCTAAATTTAAATTGAAAATGTCTATAAAAACAATTATCGATATTTATTTCTTAGGTTTTAAAATTTCAGTATAGTTTTCTTAAGAGTTATGAAGAATCTTGTATTAAATGTTCAAGACTTTGATAAAAAAAAAAAAATGTTAAGAATATCTAAATACCAAAAAGTTATCATTTGTTGACAATTTTTATTTCATCAAAATTCTTATTTTAAACTTCACAAATAAACATTGAAACTATAAATTTTCGATATTTTTCAATTATTGTGAAATTGAAAAATTATAAGAAGCTTTATTTTAAATTTTCAAAAATTTCTACTTAGTGAATAAATTTTAATTGACATTTATAGAAAAAAAACTAAAAAAAAATTAAAAATTGCTTGTGCTTTTGTAACTAACTTAAAAATAGTTAAAATAAATTAAAAATTTTATCATAAATAGGGAATAATAATAGGAAATGATAATATAAAAATTTTGTGAATTTTTCAGGTATCTAAAGTTAAATCAAAAAACTAAATCAATTAAGTTAGAAATTGGATTTGCGTAAAAATTCCTATTTTTCAATTTTTTTTCCAATCATAAAAAAAGTACTTTGAACCAAGGCTTGAAACCAGTATTGGATACCACTTTTGAATACCGGTTAAAACCGTTAAATACCAAAACCGATACCAAAACCAAAATCTAAATATAAAAAATAAATATCGGTATTCGAAATCGGAAAAAATATTTTCAGTTTCAAGCCCTGCAATTGAATTTTCAATTTTCTATCAGAAACCGTCATCATTTTTTAATATCAATGCATTTTTACTGTCTCAAAAGGTAATGACAGACAAAAAAAAACACAAATCATTGTGATACCAATAGATTCATCGCTCCACTCAGAATTTAAAATATAATTTATAATGTTTAAGTTTATCATACTTATGTAAAATTTAAAACATAATAATAAATCCATTTTAAATTTTTAGTGCAAAGATAAAACAATGTTTTTGTGTTTATAACAACTAATAACGTCATACAGTTATAATAAAATACACATTTTATTTTTGTCATTTTTGACAAAAGTTATTTCTACCTACTGTAAAAAAAATAAATTATTAATAAGAATATAAATGTATAAAAAAATATCCTCAAGAGTAAAAATATAGGCTGACGGACTCCTCCGCTCAAAATCATTGTTCGATTGACTGATGATTGAAATAAAATCTAATACATCCTATAATAGTGACCTTCTAATTATTATTAGATAGTAAAATGGCTTACGTGTCACGTTTATTTTTGATATTATGGTTTAAAATATTTAATAATACTTATTTTAAATAATATATTCAACATGGGTAATCTAAATTTCTAATAAGTATATAGTTAAACATATACACAAAAAAAAATTTTAATTGCATCACTAATTACATTCCATAATATACCATTCCACTAATAATTTTTAATTAAATATTAAAAACAAAAACAAATAAATGTTTGATTAATATTTTTTATTTGAATACAACAAATATTTATTTATTTATTCCAATAATAAACTTTTTTAAGCTAGATACTAATTTAACTAAATATTTAAGCAATTTTATCAACATTTCAAGAAGTATAAAAATATACTCATCTACTTATTTTTAAGATACTTATATGTATAAACTTTTGGACTGATACTAATTATTTTAATAACTTAGAAATTGAATAATTTACTATTTTAAATTCACTTACCGACCATTTCGATTGCATCATCTAAATGCACAGGTTGAGCTACAAGAAAAGCAGAATCCTCAGCATCTAAAATAAACAATTAATAAATTCTAGATTTCTTTTAAATTATTATTACACTAAAACTGAATCATCCTATAACTATTATTTACGCTGTATTTACCCTTTGATTTATTTTTATCCATTTTCAAACCGAATAACTGAAAATAGAATACAAAAATAAGAACACCGCCTTGCGATTAGATGGTGGCAACATCAACAACAGTGTTTGTAACTGAAGTTATTTTAACGAATGTCCGAATAATTATTTCAGACGTCCAATAAAATGATTGTAACTAATTAATTATCATTATGCTTTTTTCATATTGTCAGCCAACATCTGTCAGTATATAGTATTAACAAAATCATTAGTATCAATAACAATCAATTGTCATAATTCTCGATTGCTAACTGTTGGCGCGTTTAAATTAGTCACGGGAGTCTGTTATATAAAAATATTCTCAATTTTGTGATGTTTAGAAGAGATTAGATAGGTATAATGCAAATCGAAGTACAAGATATTTTAATAACTTAATAACAGCATGTTATTACAGTATATTGGTATATTAATTTTACTATCAAGTATCAACACTATAGGTATTCAAATGGTACAGCAGTATTAATTTAATACTACATTTTATTTGTCATGTCATAAATATAATATTATTTAAGTCTCTCTATGTCTAGGAAGTGTTTTTAGATAACACGCCACTTATACTTGTTCTCACACCAAATTTTATCAGGCGTTTGATATCATTTGCATTTAATAGTGTTTCAAATAGGCATTTACACTACTATGTATTTGAATATGAATAGTATCGTGTGATATATCATATGAGTTTTTTCCTACTAGAAGAAAGTTTATGAATAATTAATTCAAATTTTCACTGATATGAGCCATAAAAAATATCCACATTTTAATTTTATACGTACCTACTCACATATTAGGTTGATTGTTAATTGCTATTTTCGTATATATTCACTTTCTTTTTTGGTCATAGAGTTATGTAAATTACTTTGATACGTATAGCAGAAAACCCTTATATCTACTATTTAATTATTTTAAAAATTTGTAATTGATTAATACCAAATCTGGCAATACCGCACGATTTAAGGCGGGTAAAAACGTTAGCAATTGTGTTATGAAAAAAGGTCGGTTTTTAATTGTTCCATTCGCAATTGTATATCACCCATATCAATGGTATGTTCATTTGCATTCGAATGTCTAGATTTTTTTAACTTGTGTTACCTAATCAAATCACAGCATAACCATACATACAGCTGAAATACAGGAAAGGTGCATAATACTTGTTATTATTATAATAGCTTATGTATCAATTTCATATTACAGTATACTTGATAAAATTCTCGAATACATGTCCTCGAGAGCGCTTCGAAAATTAAAAAAAAAAGATAATAGCGTAAACTTAATATTTTTACCTAATATGTGATTATATTCTTTAGCTCTTATAAATATTGGGAAGAATCCATCAGACCTGACCCTATTATTCAAGGCTGGTTAAGCCTAGAAAAAAGTTGAAGGGAAAAAGAGGGTTACCCTTTTAAAGCCCTTTTTAGATCATTTTTTTATTTTTATTTTATTTTTACGTTATTATATAACCATAAAAAATATTCTCCACCATAATATAACACCTAATGCTAATAGTATACAACATTATATAACTCTAAGTGAACACGATCGAAAAGCCCCCTAAATCCAGCCTGATGGAATGAGTGATGCAACATCTAAAACACTTTATTTCCATACGTGACTGGTAAAGTGGTAAATACTATTATATTATATTATACTATTTGAGTTACTTATTATAATATATTATGCATGTATACCATACGCATTTAAATATACATATAAACGAAACACATATATATTAACAATATAATCGTTTTATAATCGATAACCTCTTATAATATGATAAATTGCATAACCAATTTGAATTTTTTTTATAAATGTCGATATAAATTATTTTCTGGATTCGAATTCTTGGAAATTTAATATAAATTGTTCTTAAAAATCCGGATAAAAATATTAAAATAAATAAAAACAAATTTTTTTACAATATGTTTTTAAAGTTATAATTTTAACGGAATTCGTCAAGATTACAAAAAAATGCAAACATTTTTGTAGTTGGAAATTCATATAAACTTTTCTTTTTATACCAAGTTTTAATTAGTGAATACAAGATTAATCTTAAGTATTTTATACTGAGACCATAAAATCTAATAAATATATAAAGACAACTATTTTTTTAAAACATTTTAGGTTCAAATTGGAACAAAATTACTTATTTAAATGATAATTAACGATGTTAATTATTTTTTTTTAATTTAAAAACATTGTTTGTGGGAACTTAAAATTATTACGTATATTATATTATTATGAATTTTCTATATACAATGAAATTTTTAATTAATTTTAAGATATTAACACTTTACACTATGAACCTATTTCTACTGTTTTATGGTATTAACACAAATATTTTATTACTTTTTGAGTTATAAAAATTGATATAATATGGTAAAAATATATATTGTTATAATAAATAAATATATATAATATAATTAATACTTAACACCTAATATACAGCGAAGTGTAGTACACTTTTCTTCCATTTTTTTTTTTATAAATATTTGTTTATCAAGTTTAATTAATATTTATTTACTTATAAAATACATTATAAAGATACTCAATTTTATACAAACAAAATACATGCAATGAAAAAATACATAATAATACACTAATACATTAATGTAAAATTTTAAAAACAGGATGTAATTTTTTTTTTTTTTTAATAGCACAAATTTAAAGTTCTCTTATTTATTATTACATTTTCATTTTATGGCAGTCTTTCCAGTTCTCGGTAATGTTAATACTAATATTGCTGAAACTAAAAAATCAATTTATATTTACAACTGATTAAATTAATTAATACAACTAAAAAAACATTAAAAAATTTAACAATTATTATACTTCAAAGCATAAATTGTTAACAAATAACAATTGACGTTTAAAATGCTTAAATTAAATAGATAATTAAAAATTTCATATTTAATAATATATGCATTGTAAGTATCACTACTAGTTTCTATGACTAATAATAATTATAATATACTATACACTTTGAGCGAAGCTTTAAATTTATTGATTTTACAATGATGTTTATTAATATTTATTATTTTTTATAAGTGTATGTGTGTGTATGAACATTTGTCATTACCAAACGGGTCAGCAAAAATATTTTCATTTTCTAATTTAAGGGCAGTTTATGGAAGAATTAGATAGTACTTTTAGAAGGTCAAAATTTCATAAAATGCTTAATAATTTTAACACTTGAAGTTTAAATATTTAATAAAGTTTTATTGAAAACTTAAAAAAGCCAAAGGAATTGAAAGCGAAAATTAATGTCTTTGTCTAACACACCTGAAAAATAGGAAAAAGTTAAAATCAAAAATCTTAGAAAGTCGACCACAAATAGACTTCACAATAAATAGAAATCTGTTTTTAGTATTTTTATCGTTTGACGTTTCATTAGATTAATCGATACATTGGATTCCAATGATTGAAATGAAAATACGTTTAGATCCCTATACTCCGTGCGTGTTAGACAAAGATAGAAAATTACCATTTTCAATCCCCTTAAATTCCCAAATACATATTTTATGAAATATTAATTTCAAATTTTTATGATATTTAATATTAGAGCATATAATAATGATGTTCTATTAATTGATTATTAATTTAATATTAAAAAAAAAAAAAAATGGTAAAAACTCGAAACATTAAGCTAATACACAAGCTAACATTTCTTATACACAATGAAATTTCGTAAACTTTTATTATTTTTCTCATGTTTTTTACTATAGAAATTTTAAATTTTAAACTTGTTTTTAATATTTTATTTAAAAGTGTTGATAAAAGTGTTTAGACTTTATCAAAAAATTTGAAAATATAATGCTACATCTTACATAAGTTGTTTTTAAAGCAATTTTAAAATATGCAATAAAATTTCATATTATTACATATATTTTGTTGAAATCGCAAAAATATAAAAATTATTAAAATTTTTAATTTTATATCAAATTGTTTGAAAATTGAATGGCCAATGTACACAGTTTCTTATGAATAGTTTTACAAAAACTTAAAAATATTTGCGATCTGTTTTCTGACAAAATTAGATCAATCTACCTATATAATATACTAACAGAAACATAGATAACCAATTACAATATAAATATAAAATATCTTTAAAAATATAGGCTAACAAACCGTCATTACTCAGAATTTTTTTTTGTATAAAATAATAATTTATCATTAAATTTAAATTTAACACATTTATTATTACAGTGATAAGGTACAACCGATATCTACTATAAAATAATAAGTAGTGATGTTTTTCATTGGGCATACTTACTAATCAACAAAGAGCACGATACTAAAATAGGAACCATACAATGAGCATCAATAAAAATACCAACTACGATGTTACCAATAACTGCGCCTACTTTGCCAAACATGGAACCAATAGCTACAGCAACACCCCTAAAAATAACAAAATATAAAGAATTTTGAAGATTTCTAACTTTATAGATTTACCTAAACTCTGTAGGAAACAGCTCAACACTTATGCAAAATATTAGACCAATACCCAAGCTGGAAAGAGCTTCAAATATGGAGGATAACACAATGTTCTCAAATGAAGATGTAATGAAGTACAAACAAGCGGAGGACATTGCTGACCCAAAAAAACTCAACACTAAATAAAGACATAATAAATTAGCTTAAAACGAATAAAATAAATAAATATATATCGACATTTATAACATTAATTAAAAATATTTTCAAACCTAAGAACAACTTAATTCCAAATTTGTTGACTAACAGTGGCACAATTATACTAGTAGGTATACATGCTATGCCAATAATGAGTATGTTCTCGTATACAGATTGATTTATTTCATCGTTGCATTTAAGATCGATCTCTTCAGGTTCAATTTTAAACAGAGACACAATTTCACACATATTTGTCATATTTTGGGGACCTGAATATAATGTTTCGTACCATCGAAATCTATTCATCAGCTCTGGGAACCACAAAACCATCATGTAAAAACTGCACAAACAAAAATATAAAACCACTTAATTAATGTGAAAAATACTTCTTTGTATTATTTGGTTACATATTTTTCTTGTATTTACTTAAACCATTACCTAGCTGTACAACAAAATTGTATCACACATGTAAGAATAGCCACAACTTTGAATTTAGAAGTAAACAGATCCGAAATACTATTGTAGAGTCCATAAATGAAGCTTTTATTACTCTGTTCATAAATGTAATCTGGTAACGTTAATGAAGTCACCTAAAAAATCAAAATACATATAAAGTAAGTATTATAAATATTCGTTAAAAGTGGCCATACAGAGCACTATTAATTAACAATAAATACTTAAACTTGCCGGAAAATTATCATCAGTCTTATTATTCCATCTATAAACAAATTTTAAACAGTCGATGGTCTCGTCGTGTTTACCTTTGGCAAGTAAGAATTTTGGACTTTCCGGTAATTTAGCCAAGAAACATGAAAATATTAAACTGGGAAGCGCACAAATTATTATAAATAAATTCCATGACCTGAACAAAAAGAAACCGTACTCGATTCTAAATGTTAGTGGTATAACTAACCATGCTATGCCTGAAAAATACTAAAATATTATTGATTGAATATAGATATTTTTATTATATTTATCATTTATTGGAATATCTATTTGATTTTTTTATCACATTGTATCAACTTTACTTAACATAAAAATACCTATGCAGTTAAATAAATTACTTTAGTAAAAATATCAAATAATATATCGTGAAATATACTTAGCGATATTATTATAGACTAAGAGATCATCTCCGCTCAAAACCGTTTTACATATTATACAATGCGACGTATCAATGAATTTATTCGATACAGGCAGAGCGGTACCAACTTAACACCCTTTTTTTTAGTTAATTTTATAATAGTATAATAATTAAACAGTTGCAGATTCTTATATTATATTTTTAAAAGCACCTATAACTAAAAAAGTTTTCACTTGTATACTAACTAATGTTTGCTAAAAAATAACAGAAATAACCCAACAAATGATAGTAACTAATCACAATGTTACACCGACCAAATAATATTATCTGAAATATTTTTCACCATTACAAATGTACTACGGGTAAGCTATGTATCTATTATGAAAGTATAAATATATTTTCTAATGATAAATAATAACATCATAAATAACTTAATCGATGTAACGACTGTATTTACTACAAATCATTATTTTTAGTATCAACGTAAGTTTGAATGGATATAAAAATGTTTTAATAATTTACAGTAAGTCAAAAAGATAAAAATGTATTACTACACAGCAAGTACCTATTCATACATTTTATAAAGGTGTAGACAAATTCATTTGATATTATATTGAGTGCAAAAATATGAATGTACTTCATGATATACGTACTCGAAATGAGTAATTATTGTATTATTTTAGATTTTTAGATTATAAGTTATGATAATGAATTATTAAAATTATATGAAACCTTTTTTATTGCAAATTATTTTAACCATAATGATATTAACATTAATCGTCGAGATTTTTTTTTTAGAAGATACTATTTTAGAATTAGGAAATATTTTTTGAGGAGATATTTTGAGCGGGGACTAAATATTACAGTACTCACATGGAAGTAAAATTACACCAAATGTCCAAAACAGTTCCATCCAACATAGAAATTTTTCGCGATCTTTGGTACTCACAAACTCTCCAAGATATGAATAAAATACAGTAACACCAGATATCCTAAAAATGGTTTAACAATATATTATTTACTCTTAAATTCGTTTATTGTTATAAATTATAATACCTATGTTTATTGTTTAGTGTACCTATACACGTAATCCGTAAAGAATATTCTATTAGGCTACTAAGATGAACTGATTTAAATCAGTAGGATAAATATAATAGAGTTTGTAATCAATAAAGCCATTGTATAAACAGTAAATCTTCTTATAAAATACCAATCTAGTTATTTTTACAACTTCGAATTTGAATATATTAAAATTTCAATAGTACAAAATTAGTGCATAACTCCTGGTTAGACAACTATATTAATATTATTTACTTACCCAAATCCACTCATTAACTTGCAAAATATTAATATTGGATAAATTTGAGATATGCTGGATATGAGGTTGAAGATACTATCAATCATCATGCAAAGAATCAATGTATACTTTCTGCCTTTGGAATCTGCCAAGTAACCCGAAATAAAACATCCAAAGAACATTCCTAAAAGAAACCAACTGTTGAAAAAATCACATTAATATGAGGAATGAAATTCATACCAATCATTGAAGCACCATTAAGAATTCCTTTGTGGATAGAAGTCATTTGAAAATCACATTGTGCTGACGGTATAATGAAGGATACTGACGTCACGCTAATGGAGATAGTTGCGAAAAGCGATCCGCAAATGAATAGTATGTAATAATGAAAACTTCCAAATCCTGTTAAAATAAACACATTAAAAACTCTTGTTTTAAATGCCTGGCTAAAAATATAAATTTAACTACCACACTATGTCACAAATATCAGCATTTAAATATTTTAACCAGTTTTTTTTTTTTTTTTTGTATCTGGAGATTTAGTTTTAAAAATTTTCCAAAATTAAATCCAAATAATTAATTAATTACGTATTATTAATAAATAAATAACAATTATAACGTTAATTTATTAATTTATTATCTCAGGATATACGGTAATGAGGGTTCTGTTATTGGACAGCCTCCTTTCTCGTACTAATTATCGTAAAAATATTTTTACTTCTACATTAAAAATATACTTAATTAAACCTAAATCAACTTTTACTATAAAATTTAAATTATATTTTATCATAGATATTCATGCATATCCATTCTAAGAACTAACTCTTTCCAACTCAAGGATTCAATTGGATTGGAAAAGTATGATTCAATGTAATTTTAATAAAAAGTATTCATCGACTTTAAATATTAATGTTTAAGATATAATTATATCTGCTACAAATAGCGTATACAAGAACGATGTTAGATCTCCCATACTTTTTTATTAAAAAAAAAAAATGTATGTGTAATTGTTTTTAAAAAATAGCTTAACAACAAATATTCATAAAATAAGCTTATATAGGAGGGAAATGGGTCATTTGAATACTAAAACACTCCCTCGACTATATAAATATATAATCCAAAAATATATTGTATGCTAAAAATGCTTCAGGTTTTAACAAAATGTGTAGTTAACAACTGCTAATAGATAGATTTTATCGACGAATGACGTTGTGACTTATGATCCGTATCCCATGGACATGATTATAGGTAAAATTATTATCTATAACCATGTATTTCATACTGCAGTAATTCGTACCTAAAATCTTTCTCACGTACCGTCTTGAAAATTGTAGAATTTGGTAAGTATAATACCATTATTGTCAATAAATATCGACGCAACCAGGCGACATTTATTTTGTTTTAAATGTTTTAAACAGTTAAAACGCCCTGCTTTAAAAAAAGTCTTAGCTAAGCACCAGACCTAGTTATTACACATCTCATATATTATAATACTTGGTGGCAATACAAAAATTTGATACAGTGCAACAATACAAATGTACTCTAAAACTGAATCTTCTGTACGATGATAATATACTGCGATAGTTACAATCGTAAATCGTAACAATTGACAACAAATATTATTATAGGTTAAAGATACTGTTGCCGTAAGGACAATATTATTGTCGCAATTTTATACGTATATATATTATTTATCAATTGTTATTATAATGTATAATGTGTATGGATAGAAAGTTAGAAAACGAAATAAACATAAATAATTGTCATAATTTAGTGCGCGCTCTAGTGATGTCTTTGCTATACTTAAAAACATCATACATAATTTACTATATTTAAAGAAGTAACCACCGACATCGCGATACGCTCTAAGTTGAGATATTTTATTAAAATAACCTTATGAATTGAAATTTATTTTGACTTTTACGATTTACGTTTACGTCATATTATCATACAAAAAACCATCACTATAACAGTAATAAAATATGTATATATTTTTAAATTCAGAAAAAATTACCCATAAAAAATGTTTTTTTGAAGTTTTGAACTAGGCTCTATAAATAAAAACATATTATTATTATTATTATTATTATTATTTATCAATATATATTTAAATTTGAATTTAATGATTTAAGTTTAAATTTAACCGTAAATAATAAAATTATTATACGCACAGTGAGTGGCGACTAAGCCCCAACGGAAAATTAAGAAGTTTTAATACTTTAAGACACCTAAAAATATTTCTCAAAAATAATAAATAAATATATCACGCTTATCCGTTACTGCGTGCTTTAATAAAAATAAGCCAAAATAAAAATAATAAATAAGAGGACGTCATATCCGCATTTGTTGTCTTCGTCTTACACACGTACGATTTAGACAAAATATGTTTACGCAGTCTAAGTAGAACTCACTCAATTTTGATTCTAGAGTAAATATAAATATACCTACTATAAAATTAAAAAATAACAATATTTCAGAGGGCAAGACGCTAAGTTTTTTCCATTATTCCCAACATAAAACGCTCATTATAATCGTTTAGAAATTTCAACATTTTCAAATAACCTTTAACTTTTCAAAATTTAAATTTAAAAAAAGAACTCAGCGTCTTGTCCTCCAAAATATTGTCATATCTTAATTTTATGATAGGTTATTTACTCTAGAACCGAATTTGAACGAGTTCTATTCAGATTGCGTGAATGGGTTTTGTCCATATCGAACGTAAGACGGAGACAACACATGCGGATATGACATCCTCTTAATACAGCTAATAAATAATTATACACAATATTGTAATATAATTAGCTTGATTACTCAAATAACTAAAAATTTAGTAGCTATATGTACAAATATTTGGATTTAATAAAAATTTACTCACCAATAATTTCCATAGCTTGGTCTAAATTTACGGATTTCGTTATCAAACATTTAGAATTTTCTACTTCTAAAAAAAAAAAAAAAAATACTGTAGTAAGTACATTATACTATCATATAGGTAACTGCTGAGTACTAGGGTGAGTACTTATATTATTATCCTCGATTTAAAGTTAAATGCTCTAGAACGTGTTGTTTATGTTTTTCACTTAAATCAAATTCCTAAACAAATTACATGTATAAACAATGTTATATATATAATATATATATTGACTTAATCGCAAAAAACACAAAATATATGTATATAGGAACAATAGGTACATACCTATACACTGAATATGTGATCATAAACAGATAAATAAATAGTAATATCATGATATTTATTTATATAAGATTATAAACAAACGAATAATAAAAACATACTAATAATATTTTTGTTCACAAATATAAATATTCAAAAAACAAAATTATAATCTAAAATGCGTCTTGATGTTGAACGTTTATAACATAAACAATACAATTTACCTTTTACTTTATTGCCAGAGTATATTATCAAAAATAATTATAGATTAATAAGACACGAACTTATTACTAATTTTTGTACTAAAAATTTATTATTTAGTATTTCTAGGGTTTAGTGACCTCAAATTGTCATTTATAATTTATTCTTTGGAGGAATATGCGGTCTGTTCTATATACTTATTTCAAAAATGTATTTCAATTATTTTGTATTTCTATAGTGGCACTTTGAATTCGATCGGAGAAAATGGAAAGTAACTTCATTTTCGTACATTAAAAATCCTATATCTCGTAAAGAAACATAGCACTAATTTTGAAAATTGTTCCATTGAAAAACACTAATTCAACACTATATTTTGGCACTATAGTGGAAATTAGTGTTCAAATTTTTTCTTTAACTTCGCGCATCTATAATTTAATAAGAAACTATAAACCAAGTGAACCAAGTAAACCTTAGAAACCCTCATTAAAAAATACATAACTCAATAATACTCTTAATACAAATTCAAAGTACAATCCCACTCACACCAATTTTAATTAAGCCCCTATCAAAGAAAAATGTACGATTATAGAATTATAGTATTCAAAATTTGTTTTTATATAAAAATAAAAAAATGTTTAATGATAGATAGTGTACGTAGTTAGTAACACGTGAACTGTGAAAGTATTATTTTTAAATATTTTTAATGCTATAGTTATGACTATATAAGGTAAAAAGTTTAAACCTGCTAAAATCAAATTTTAACGCTCTTAATATTAAACAAAATTTTTATTTTTATAAAAGTTTTAGCTACAGCAATACTAATTTGTCACAACCGAAATTGTGTAGTACTGCAGATATATAAGAAGTATACTATATTAAATAAATATCAATAATTACAATTTACAACACATATCGGATAAAATAGACACCTTTTAAACTTTCTACCAATGCTATTTTGATGTCTGTTACATAAAAAAAAATGGCTACTAGTTAAATTTCCAATATAGTTTAAAGATTAAAAAATTCTAAAAATATTCATTTTTCACATAACTAATGAAAATGTAGTAAATGTTTAATTTATAAATTAGAATTTTCATATTTAAACTTACCGAAGTTTTTGATAGCTTTATCCGAGTGTGACGGTTGAGTACTTATAAGACACATAGAATTCATGTCTTCTATAAAAAAAATAAATAAATAAATAAAATAATTTCCCTACAGCATTTTTTCATTTAAAAAATTTAAATTCCCTTATCGATAAACAACTATTTAATTAAAACGAAATTTACCTTTTGAATTATTTGTTTCCATCGTGTTTAATATGCACTACGCATGCATAACCAAAATAATGCATAAAATAATAACCCTTTATCTGGAGTTCCTAGCCAAAGTTAATACTTCAATATCCATTTATCCAATAAAACGGTTATCACTTCAATTCGATATTACTGATCCAATTTACTATCGGAAAATTTAAATTTACAGTAATTATATCGTTTTAACACAGACTCAGATAAATAGTATAATTAATTAATTATTAAGTTTTATAACGCAATTTATAACGCAACAACGCAAAACTATCATATGTTAACACGTTCAAATTGGTCGAGCGTGTGTTCAATACGATGTTGTGGTGGCAATTATAATCCGATGTGTGGTTAAAGGTGTGGCAACAACCGTTCAAAAATATTTCGATAAATACCGTCTGCTTGTTGAATATCACGCAAGAAACAGAAGTAGGATAGCTATTGCCTATTACACTGCACAACTAACAACTTTATGAATATTATTAATTTAACGATATATAATGCTGTACTACTTATAAAACAAACACATTCAAATTAATATTGGTATTAAAAATCGGATTTTTTTTTTCATTGCCATATTCACGCAGTACCTAGTAATCATAGTTGTGATTCAATTATATGTACTAATGTTATTCATGGTTCATTTCTGTAGACGATTATTTAATTATTAAAATTAAAAACCATTATAATATTTAGCAATCTGTCAGCTGTTAATAGTCTACCAATGAAAACAACTCGTTCAAGAAATGATTTTAGATAACACATAATAACTTGAACTTGCCATAATTTTGATATTATATTCATGCGTTAAATTTAATAAATAAAATACGAATAAATGCAATCGATAATTGAATAGTATAAAGCGCTCAATAAAAAGAAAAAAAATGATAACCAAGAAAAAATATATTTAGGTACCTACTATTTTAAAAGGTTCTTACTTCTTTTTTTCAAGTAGCATTTAAATATATAGCAATAAAATCGTTGAATCCAAAAATTAAAATTAACACGATTATAGAGGTGTTGAAAATTATATTAATTAAATATAAAAAATATATATTGAGCTTTTAATTCAGCACTGCATAAAAACAATGTCGTAAGAAGGTACATCAAATGCGTAGAAAGATGGCTAAAATTGAAAAATTGTAGCAATTTGTTATATATTTCAATAATCCGTCTTTTACATCTAAGTTATATTGACCAAAATTTGCTATAACAATCTTAAGCAAATAAAATAATGACCGGTGACCTAAGTATCCCACCATTCCAGGATTTAAATAACACGATATTATTTATTTTTTACTTAAAAAAAAAATTTACTTTACCATCATAAAATAATTATATAATCATGATTAAAATGAAATAATATTATAAAGTGTGAAAGTATGCGGTTAAATTTAATTTTATAACACATATAATTACCATTATTTTGAACTATTTCCTTTTTTTATATTCTTACAAGTTATATTATATGTATTATATATAATTTTTCTACACCTAGTGACTACTAGCACACCTTATTTATAGATGTACATAGTATACGAGTGAATTCGTTTTTAAGATGGTATTTATTTTTATTATTATTAATTTTTTACTTTTACATCTTAAAAACCGAGCAGACTACTGCAATAAAACATCATTAAAAAAATAAGTTCATTTATTGAATCTTAAAATAAAAAACAGACCTACATATGTACTGTCACTGAAACCGTATCATATACTCATTACTAGCACAACTAATCCTCTGGAGATTGGGAGAATATCTTCAGTACGATTATAATGGGAATAAAAACATAACATTATCAAAAAGAATAACAATCGGGAGAGTTAAATGTTTTCTTCCAATAGAAAGATTTTATTTACTGTCCGAATGGAATATAGAGAAGACGATAAAATCCAATTACATCTATACTGTGTATGAATAAGACGTTTCTCTGTAATAACAAAAACGTTTGTGTTTTACGTCCTACGGCGATACGGTATCCTGGGTAATCTGTTTACATTTTTATTATTCCTATAAATATACAACGTCGTTTTTTTAATACAAAAATCCAATATTCCTTTTTTTTTTCCAAACACATCATACGTTTATAAGCGTAAACAAACCCGGCTCAATGGGTAGGCGACTTAGCCCCACGCCTAGGGCGACATTAAACATTTTTGTATTATAGAAAATTTTCAAAAATTTTACATTTAAAGAGCTGCAAAACTCAAGTCTGTCCAAGTGTATTTAAACACTTAAGCCGGACCTGAGCGTTTAAATAATAATATTATAAACTATAATGTTGTGCATTATAAAACATGTAAATAAATCGGTAGACCTTTAGTCCCCGAAATTACATTTTAAAATATTATTTCTCTATTGGATTATAACATATAAATTTACCTATAACTTATAATACTTGATTTATCGGAACACACAATGAAAAAAAGGATAAAGAAAGAACATTTTTCATTTGTATTTTTACTTAGACACGGATAAAGGAGTAAATAAGAAGTCAGATATTTTAAATTATTTATAAATGGTTTTGCTTAACATTTAAAGAAAAATTAAATAAATTTAGTAAACAATTTAAGTATAGTATAATTGAATATAATATATAATACCTAATCTATATACTTAACAATGAATCCCAGCTATTTCCCTTAGTCACGGCATCACGCATGAACGACTGGACCGATTTTGCTAATTATTTTTTTGGTGTACTTGTTATTGTCAGGAGAAGGTTCTTGTGGAAGAAAAAATTAAGAAAAATGCGAGGAAAATTAATAATTCATTAAAATGAACGTTTAAATTGTATACCACGAATATCCAGTAACCTGACCTTTTTGTCTATCAAATTATGTGTTTGATCGACGTGTAGATATGAATAATTTTTCCTAGAAGTAAAAATCAACAACCTATCTATATCTATCTAGTGTATAAAAATTAAAATGACAATTTCCAGTGCGACTAGCATTTGCAATGTCGATAAATAAATCGCAAGAACAGTCGCTAAGTGTTTGTGGCATCAATATGGAAAATCCATATTTTTCACATGGAAACTTGTATGTCACTTGTTCCCGTTTCAGAAAACCAACAAAACTATTCATATATGTGTCAGAAAATTAAACTAAAAATGTTGTGTATCAGGAAACAGTAGAATAATAAACACTATGTTTTTAGAATAATATTTTTTTTTTTTAATTATACTAATTCGAATTCAATATTTATAATTAATCATTAATCCTTCGTTAGTGTGTAGACATTTTTTTGGATCTTTAGTGTGTTGAGGTTTATTACACCCCACATTTTAAAATAACATAAAATCAATGTTTTAGTTTAAGTTTTATTAAATTGAATTGAATAATAACATTTTTAACATAGAAATAAAATGTTATATCAAAAAAAATAACGATTTTTAGTAACATTTTATGCGGAAAATAAATTTTACTATTAACTAAAAAACATTTTTGCATCAAAAAATATAAAAAAGTACTATACAGAGAAGGATTTCGTGAAGGTAAAAATTTGATCTAGTTCAATCACTAATAGTATCATGCAATATCTTATCACGTGGGGTTTAACAAACACCAATACACTGATGAAGGGTTAAGACAGGACAACGTCTGTCATATCAGCTAGTTATATATATATATATATAACACATACAGTACAAGTAGGACCTACCTATATTTAATATTTATTTACCTAAAAAAAATATAATTTTTCATGAAATCTAATGAAACAAAATATATAATTTATTATAAATAAATACAAAAATCAACATTTTTACAATATCAAATAAATTTTGAACAACTGTATAATACATTGCAATAACAAATAAACTATTGATTAAAATAATGTTAGCTAATAAGTATAGTAACAAAAAGATTATTAATAAAAAAATATATATGACTAGAAATTAATTTGAAAAAAAATAGCATGTTCTAGATTTTAAGCTAAACAATTTATTTAATAATTTAAATTCTCAATCATACCAAATAGATGAAACTTATTTGATTTGATTTTATAGATGTATTGAACTTTTTTTAATTTATTGTACGATTAATTTAAATTACTGTACGAAAACTTGCCATAAAAAAATCGGAAATTTAGTCTGTAACATCTTTAATTGGCTATTATTTCTATACTACTATATAATAGCAATGTGAATTGTACAATTAAGAATATTGCCGCTCTTATATAGAAGTTGTATCACCATAAAAAAATTCAAATAATCCAAACGCTTCATCTCAATAAGCAATAGCATACGTATTAATTGTTGTATGTAATGTGTATAATATGCATTCAAATATTGAAATCAAAAGTTTGCATTAATAAATACGTATATTATCATAGTAATTACAAACGTATTGGACAATTTATATTATTTAAATTATTGCTATTAAATTCTTGTTTGCTTATCAAATAATTAATTATAGGTATATACTATACACGTGCTGCTGCCGTATTGTACACAAGTTGATTACAAAAATATCATTCATATTTCTAAGCTAGTTTTCTACTTGTCTTACTCTATTAAGTCAAATGATCAAAACCAAATCAATTTCAAGTAAATTATTACGATTTAAAAATTATGTTTTTATATTTCCAAATTCATTTGGTTTTAATTATTATTCACCAAAGTCAATTTGTTTGGTTTTAAATTATTTAAATCATTTTAAACTGTTCTTTTTTTTTATGTCGTATTTCACTAACAATTTTATTTTAAATATTAAAAATTAGTTAAGTAGTTATTATCAATAATTATTATATTTATAAAGATACAATATGAAACAACTGTAATAGAAATTCAAATGGAAGAAAATCATTAAGAATAGTAACACTGACAATTATCATTTTTTAAATATACTTCAATAGGTAGTATTTATTTGTTACGTGTAATTTGTGTTATGTGGATATCAAAACCCAAAAACGAACAATTATACAACACTGACTTCGAAAGAGATACTAATATTAAAATGAAAATCAATTTCAAAAGAGTTACATTTGACCGAGTTATAGGGTTTCTTCAGCTGTTATGAAGTCGTACGATACCCTCTTAATCGTTACCTATATATACAACTTATCAGAAAAATAAATAAAATGAAATATAAGAAGTAAACTAGGATAATACATTTTGTATAATAAAGTGCTATGTTATTTCATTATTTTTTTTTCGCGTGATTTGTATAATACTTAAAAAGAAAAACATGAAAAATTGAAAAGTACCCAGGTGGTTGTCGCACTTAAGGTAATCACAATTACGTTCGATTTAATAGCCGAGCTCGCGTAAGTACAAATTCTGTGCAATAAACATAATTGCTTCGATAGCATCAAAACAATTTATTTTCGCTTTCTATACATCTATGGGATAGTCAATGTTTATAAAAATCAATTGAAAAATTATTTTAAAAAAAAACCCATAGATTTATTTAAACATTATGAATACAAAACAAATCCTGACAAATTTAGAGCCGTCATTTTTTATTTTTTTATTATTACATTACTTAATGCTACAATAGGTGAAACTTATATAATATAACTAATTAAAATTTAACATACAAATAAATGTTGTGCAGTTTCTAA